GCTTTTTTCTTTTTGTTTATGTGGTGCTGAGGAATCGAACCCAGGGCCTTGAGCATGCAAGGCAAGCGCTCTACCACTGAGCCACCTTCCCAGCCCTGTTTGAAATGTTTTTATCTTGAGCACTTTTTGGAAAAGTAATGTACAACTGAAGTTAACAAGTTTTTTTTTTTTGTAATTATTTTAAAGATGGTATTCCAGTAGTTTTTGGTTCCTCTTGCTGCTGTTAAGAAATAAACAGGAAGTGTAACTGGTCTGTGGATAATCTTATCACTGGATTTTAAGGGTTTTTTTTATTTTTTGTTTTGCTGCTGTTTGGTTTTTGGTGGTAGTCCTAGGGTTTGAACTCAGAGACTCATACCCCTAGCATGCCCCTGGCCCTCACTAATTCTCTCATGTAAATGTGTCTCTCTTAAAAAGTTGCCGGTTTCACTATATGACAAAAGTACAATTGTAAAGAACTGGTAGTTTCAGTTAATAACTTCTAAGTTTCTTAACATCTTACTGCTGAGTGGCAATCAGTGTTATATAAACAGCTGATTACCGAAGGTCATTTACAGAGGTCCTATGGCAAACTTTTTGAAGGACACAACTGTATAACTTCCTCTCACAATCTCATGTATGTTCCTGGATGTAAACAAGCACAGTATACTTTTATCTTTGTGCAGCACTGTTGGAAATAATCATGAAAAATGGAAGCACTGCTGGAAGCAGCCCTCATTGCCGAAAACCAGCAGGTAGTGGTGATCAGAGCAAGCCTAACTGCACCAAGGACAGCACATCGAGTAGTGGTGAGAGCGGAAAAGGCTATACCAAAGACCAAGTGGATGGAGTGCTCAGGTAGGCACCAGTGTGACTCATGTCTCCATGGAGGCTGATAGCCATAGAATTAATAGAACAGACATGGAGGGATTAACTATGGTGTTTCTTGGGTTCATATGGGTAAAAAAAAAATCAGCCTGTAAAGTATTTTAACTATATGGAAAGTTCCATTTTTAAAAAAATGAACTATAAATCACAAAAGTTCTTTGAAATACATTTTCAAGAGAAAAAGTATTTGAACTTTTGGCACAATAGATTGTTTACACCATCGTATTGAAAAGGAGATGAGTAATTGTATTGTCTTCTACATGGATGAAAGTGGGAAAATTCATGAAAGGAAAACTGAGGATAATTGGAACAGTGTTTTTAATTTCCTACTTAAAGTAATAAAGGATATCCTATTTCTATTCTTTTTCTAGACCGCCTTTATAGATGTGCAACTGTCATATTGCCCTCCTTTTTTGAATGTTTCCCTCTTATTATTCTCTCTGCTTCAGGCTATTTTAGTCTTACATCATGACACACTTCTACTGAAAGCAGAGGATTGGATAGAGTTGAAAAATTATGAACTGGGTTTTAGAGTTCTGGCCGTACTCATAAATAAAAACTGTTTTCTGGAAGTAAAATGAACCTCTTGAGTAGGAAACATTGGAAAACAGACTGTTTTGTTTTTTCTACAGCTTAAGGACATTGTATTGATGATATACAGATGTTCTCCTAGGGAAACTAAAAATGGAGGAGTCTGAGCAGTGATTAACCCAGTAGTCCTGATAGGAGTGAACTAAACTGGATACTGAACTAGCTTAAGAGAGAGATGGTTAAAACTAATCAGACTAAGTCTTTCGCTTTTGCCCCTTTCCTGTTTCTCGTTTAATTTTATTTCTTTTCTCACCCCTTTTCCTCCACTGTTACTGTTTACATATTGTAATTGTACTTCAAATGTATGTGGAGGTGCCAGTTTTAAAACTATCAATTTATTTGTATTTTGGCTTTTTTTCTTTATGTTTAATTGCAAATGTTAATTTTAACACTATCTGAACATGATCATAATAAAAATAAAAAGATTTCATTTTCTCCTGTTAGTGAAGCACTTTGAAAGTATAAATAAAACTACTAATCATTTTCACTATCATAGTACTGTTTCAGATGAGACTGAATACATGAGAACAAGCAAGAAATTTTTCTTTGGATTTCTTTCAGAAAAGCTATAGCAAGCATGGTACCAAAATACAACTGGGAACCTCATCTGAAACAAATTGCATTTTCTAATAAACATTCTCAGTGGATGAGCCAAATAAAATTAATTGTATTATTATATAACTTTTCCTAAAAAGACTAGAATCAACCATATTTTGAAAGTTTTGGAGAATAATGTTTTGTTTTGTTTTTTAAAAACTAGGGTTATTTTACTAAACCCTTATTTTCTTCATTTTGTCCATCCTATTCCTGGGTATAGACAGAGAGAGGAATAACCCAAAAGTGTGGTAGAAATATGCAAGGGAGAACAGTATTATCTCTTCATTTTAGCATTTATTGCCCAGAAGACCTGGCCTTAGGCAGGGGGACATTTTGAGAAAGGAAGATGAAAAAATAAGTGGGTATAAATACATTCTGTGTATTACTACAGTTGAACAGATGGAGATATAAAACATTGGGAGGGCTTCTGTCTGCTGGCTGGAGACAAAGTTGTTTTCTTGGAATTAGAAGAGATGAAAGCAAGAGGAGAGTAGTGAAAGTATGGAACTTTGCAGAAGAGAGGAGGAAGTGGAATAGAAAGATTTCCAGTTTAGCCTTAAGGGCCCAGCCCTATTTAAGACCCTGAATCCATTATGGATAAAGAATTACTTTAATAGTATATCTGTATTAAAGATTCTCTAAGTCAATAGTTATATTACATTTTAAAGTTTTATATATGTGTGTATCTATGTATATACATACATGTATATATATATATATATATATATATATATATTCCTTCTGGGACCAATTATGATTGGAACGTAACTCAAAATCTTTAAGCCACTAGCTTCTATGTAAGAGGTGCCCAGTTGAATCACAGGCTACTTATTCATGATTCATGGAGCAGATTAGCAGCCAAGATGTACATGTATCATGCTTTTGTTTTTTGTTTTACCTATACACAAGGGACTTCTCTCAAGAAAGCATGTTATCTTGTTGGTTAGCATGATTATGCAAACAAGTTGCCCAGTGACAATTTGGCTCAACGGGGAGAAGCCATGCAATAATACCACACCCATTGCATAAGTAAGAGCTTGCTTACAGTAAGATTAAAGAAAAATTGTGCAACTTAGCAAACTAACATACTGTGAAACTGAGTTGAAATATAGTAAAATACTTTATTTGAAGATAGTTTTAATATATCACTGGAAAATACCAGCGATTAAAAAATAAGAGCACAAGAAATCACTAACTAGGCTATTATATTTATCATCAAGGATATTACTGTTAAATTTTTAACTAATCTGAACTTATGGGGATTTGAATTATGATTTGATTTAAGTTCTAATTCTAACATAAAAAGAAGAGAAATCATTGTGCTAAAGTCATAAGAGAAATAATCCTTTGTCTCATAAATTTCTAAGTGTTAAACACCTGTTAAGTCTGATGATGTCTGTTTAAATAATCAGCTGTTGCGCATGGGATAAAAAGCAAATTGAAAGAGACTTCTCTCCTGAATACTATGCCTTCATGCATGTAAAAGAAGACAAGAAGTGTGGACCTGACATAGCTTATTCATTATTGAGTTCCAGACAGGTGTTTCTGGTCTTGTACAACATTTTTCTTCAGTGATTGGTCATGGGTTCCACCTGCTACTGCCCCCCTACCTCCTTATTTCGTTTTATAGTTCTGGACCAAGGTTGAGGGACTGTATCTGTTGATGGCCTTTTTGCTGGCAGAGCTCCCAAGCACTGCAGACAGAGTATCCTGTGGCAGAGGACAAGGAGCACACACATAAGTGAATTATCCCTTCAAAACAGCTTTCTTTAAAAAATTACTTGGAAAGGCTGAAGGTTTGACTCTTACAGAAAAAAAAAATAGACTTTGAAAAGTGACAAATGCATATATCACCAGTGAAAAGGAGCCCGATGCATGACAGTATAGAGTAGATGTATGTCTCTTTCAGGTATGACATATTAGGCAAATGACTTCTCATTTGGAGCCTTACTTGAAATATATCATCTTAGCCTAACCACTTGTGGTGATGATTTTATGTCTCTACTAACTTCTCAAGAACTTTTCCTCGAATATGTCATGAAAAGTTGGGAGCAGGGATAATAGGGCAGAGCTGAATGCAGCTAGGAATCAGCGCAGTATTTGTTTTTCTTGTGTACTCTTTATTCTCTCTGTGGCAGCTCTTAGCTTTATCACCCAAACTAGAGCATTGAGAACTCCACATGGTCTTCCCTATGCTATTTAGCAACCCTTCCCTTACCTAGCATTTTCCATTGCCTGACCTTTCGTGTTGAGGAGATATCAATAAAAAAAAAATTTAGAAGTGCAGTATGGAATATCATTGAATATTGTACACATTCAGATCAAACAATGGCTTACGGAGTGTTTATCAGTGCTTTTTCTTTTTAAGACATTTCTTTTTAAGAAATGTCTTCAGTGTTTGTGGCATTGTTCTTTGTTTCTTTGTCTTCTAGTATATTTTGTTTCTGCTCTATTCCAAGTGACTCTTGGTGCCAAGTACATTTTTTTTACTATGACACTTATCACCTTAGATCTGAACATGCCCTTTCAGAACCTCACCATTTTTGCTGTCAAATTGAAACAGTTATCCATCCATTCCTGCTGCCCATCAGTCTGTCCATCTATCTGTTTACCTATGGTGAACAAGATGTAACATCTACCTCAGACAGACTTTAATCCAAGGAGAAATCAGACCAAAAACAAAAGCCAAAAAGCCAGCAAAGCCCTCTGAACTCAAAGCATATAAGGAGTGTGCCAAACGTAGGGATTTGGATACTTGGGGAAAAGAAGAGTTAAGCTGATTTCTGAAAAGGGTGTAGAAACTAGGTAAGCAAGACAAGAGGCAGAAAAGGAGCTTCTGGTCATCGATTTGCAAGCATTTAGGGAACGGTGCCTGTGTAAAGTGCTGATTGTAAGAAGGAAATGGGAAGGAGAGGAGAGAGGTCACTGAAGTATGGCACATACCTTTTCTCCTATGTTCTGGTTCTGAGACAACAAGATTTTCAAATCAAACAGATCTGAATTTCCATGAGGCTTCTCTGATGACTCTATTTCAAATACTAGCTTTACTCTTCCATTCTCCATTTCCCCTTCGTCACTTGATTTTTCTCCAAATATTATTCACCATGTGATGTCTTTGCATTTAACGTATATATTGATTGTTTGTCCCCCTCTCAAGTGTAAATTTAGTGTGATTAATGTTTTTCTTTTTACTGCTTTATTCATCATGATAGCATCTGAAATTGTGCCCAGCACTGTTTAGATGGTCAGTATGTCTTACTGAAGAAATAAGTCCTGATTCCCGTTTGTTACTTGATTTTATGGTAGGCGCAATTTATGCAACCATTCTAAGCCTTTTGTTTTCTCACTGGTTAATTAGGTATAATAATACCTATCCAATAAGGAACAAATGAAGTATTTTGTGTAAAAAAAGATAACATAATTCTTTAGAGTCTTTTATGTGAAATCCTTGTAGCCAAATGTGGTTTGGAATTTAGAATTCTTCCTCTTCATTTAGAATAAAATTAAACATTATATAGTATCTAGCAGGGTATGGGGCAGCAAGCAGTCTATAGCATTTTGGCAGCAAAACATAAAAATATTCACACAAATGTGATAAAAGTTCTGTAGTAGTTTTTCATCCTTTCAAGTAGGTCTTAGCCTCTAAAAGAATTTAAGCCAGGTTTAGAATAACTAATTTTTCAGAGCTTTATGGGTATTGAATATGGACATGGGATTCTGGGCCTATACCTAATACAGATGATTTAGGAATTCTCTAAGTAACTTCCCATGCCCTCCCCTCCTTTCTTCCTTTATGTCACATACTTTATTAGTATACCTAGCAGAATGAGTCTCTAAAGATGGAAATTCTGTTTGTTTGCTGATACAGCTCATAGGTCTAGCTCACTGGGGCATTTTGGTGGTCAGTAAGTACTATTGAATAAAGGAAATGTTTCTGTTTTTAAGCAAAATTGACTCATGTTAATTTTAAATATCTAAAGTAGGAAAAATCCAATATTCTTGTATTACTAATAATAGAGGATATGACAGAGTTTTGTTGATGTGATTATAAGAAAATGGCTGTATACGTCTATAATTTTGTATAAAGCCTCATTTTTTTCACCCTGTCTATAAAGCATACAATGAATGCTTTCACTGTAAAGGGAGAGGTAAGACTCAAGATATTTACTGTGAACTTGTATGTGCTAAGTACCGTGGTGGTTAATAGGTTTAGGGTTTTTTATTTTTAATCCATCTTGTCTCTACTATGCCCCTACTCCCCCTTTCCATTGTCCCAGATTAAGTCCACGTGATGCATACACTCCACTACTTAGCTGCTCTTCTGCCTGTATGTCATGCTTTATATAATGCTACACAATTGAAAAAATTATTAGAAAGTAATAGATATACATTTTTAGCCATGACATTAGTTTTGAAGAGTTTGGGGATTTATTTTATTCACTTCTGTACTATACGGTTCTTTTTCTTTTGTGCTCGGTCTAGAGCTTGACCTTAGGGGCCTGTGTGCAGTTCCTTAGCTCAAAGCAATCACTCTACAACTTGAGCCATAGCTCCACTTGTGGCTTTTTGGTGGTAAGTGGAGAAAAGAGTCTCATGGACTTTACTGCTAGGATTGACTTTGAACGGTAATACTCAGATCTCAGCCTCCTGAATAGCTAGGATCACAGGCATGAGGCACCAGTGCCTGGCTTTATATAATTGTTCTTACACTCCTGTTTTACTTATAGTGAATGTACAATCTTAATCTGCAATTATTATAAGCCTTATTTCTCTGTGGTTGTGATAATTGAACTAAGGACATTTTCATAGCTTATTCCTCTTAGACTGGGAAGTGGTAGAAGCAATAGTCTATGGCCAAAAGAGAGAATAAAGCAATTAAGCCTTAGAGGAATAAGCCATCATTAGATTTTGAGATATAATGCACAAATAGTTCTTTGTACTATTTTAATAAGTTAGAAATTAGAGACATTATTTGACCTTCTTCCTCAGAATTTACATATAACACACTTGCTTTTTTCACAGCATAAACAAATGTAAAAACTACTATGAAGTACTTGGAGTTACAAAAGATGCTGGTGATGAAGATTTGAAAAGAGCTTATAGAAAGCTTGCTTTGAAGTTTCATCCAGATAAAAACCATGCACCTGGAGCAACAGATGCTTTTAAAAGTAAAGTAAACTTTTAAAACAACTCCTTTCTTTTTTTTTTTTTTAAGAATTTACCTTACAGTGTTTTTCAGAATAGTGAATTCTGGTTTTGGACTGATGCATTTAGAAAATAGCAAGGGTCTGAAAAATCAATTAAGGTAGAATTTTAATTCTAAAACCCAGAGCCAAGCAAATGCAATTTGGTTGCACAACAGCAAGAGGCCTGTTTGACATAGTCTTAAGCAGCCCAGCAGGTAGGTGCTGGCTTGCTTGTGCCTGTTTTAGCACATTTCCCTGTGGTTGAGGTCAACTGAAAGTAGTATGCGCTTTTTATGAGATTGCTTCTGTTTTGTTTTCAGTACTGTGGTTTAAACTCAGTGCCTTGCACTTGCTAGGCAGACATCTTATTACTTGAGCCACAGTTTTCTTATATTTCTATTAAACCTGGAGAGTGCTTACATTCTTTATATGTGTTTTTAGCTACCATGGTTTTCTCTTAAATAGTTTCTCTTGCTTATACTTTATTTTCTTTCTTAATGATCTTCAACGTGTTTTTTTTTTGCCGATGTAGTAAATTAAGGTCAGACACCTGATTGTATAATTTCATATTTCCTTACAATTTATTTGTACAGTTAACTTGGAATTCATACTAAAATACTTGAATTTGTGATCATCTTGTAAGTTTGACATTCATAGAGGCCAGTATGCAGTGTTTTTAATGTTAGGGTTTTAGAATAAGAGGAAAGAGATGCTCATTTTTAAAATGTTTCAAAAAGATATAAAAGACTCAATTGGGTCTTCCTTAAAATATTCAAATTATTTACAAAACAATTTAAAATTTTTATTGTTATTATTAAGGTGTTGTACAGAGGGCCTACCATTTCATAAGTCAGGTAATGAATACATTTGTGGGTTTTTTTGGACAATGTCACCCCTTTCTTTACTTTCCCCCTCCCATCCCTGCCCCTAAAGTTACATAGGTCATTTTCCACCCAGTGTAGACTAAATAGCACGATGCATTTGTTCACCCTTCCTCCGTCCCTCCCTTTCTGTGCTCTTTTCACACCCTCACAAGAAGAAAACAAAGCAAAAGTAAAATAACCACCACTATAATACCAACAACAATTACAACAACAGAAAAAACATGTTTTCATTTCCTGGAGTTTGTTTCAATAAATAGTATTTTAAATGTTTAGAGAAGTTATGTCTTTGTGTTCCTCCCCTAAGGGTATCCTCCTTTAGTCTGGTTGTTTATGTGTGAATGCCTAGAGTCCTGTATAGGTAGTTTTATTTTTGCAGGAAGTTGCCAAGGAAAATACATTAGGGAATCACTACTATATTCCAATAAAGGCCTTGCTGAAACTGTGCAGCTGAAAGTGAAACACCACTTAGCAGAGGCTCCTCAGTTTACGTTGAAAGTGATATGTTGAGAGTGTAGGAAAAGCTACTGAAGTCCAAACATGTCAGCTTACAAATCACATTTCTCTCAGTTTGTTGCATGAAGAAGGTATCCAGAAAACAAGGTTATTATTTTTTGTTATTTAAATCTATACCTTTTCTGTTATTAACAAAGGTAATATAGACACTACTTAAGTAAATTTCCAATGCAATTGTACACAAGTTGGAAAGTGATAAAATGTTCTAGTAGAATAGGTGTTTAATTTGTTTCATTATTGGTGCATAGTTTCTATGAAGAATTTTTTATCCCCCCCCGAAGAATTTTACATTTTATTTAAACTTTAGTAAATGCAACATGTTTTTCATCTGTGCAGCCAGAGAAAAACTAGAAAAGTAACATTTTCAACAGCTATTTTATTGGCATACATTCCCCTCAAAGGTAAAAGTTTCATGTTATGAATGAAGAACATTTAGTTTTTTGGTGTCTTAAAAATATTTTAAAATATTTGGCAGTGGGTTATTTTCATGTTTATATCTGCGAGGTGCTTTCAATGTGAATTTTTCATTAATGTTAAAATGTTACATTGCTGGATTGAAAGCATGTAGCTAGCATTGGTCTGGGACTAACACTGGATGTTAGTATTTCTTATTTCTATTTTGTATTTTGAAGAGGAGCACAGCCCCACAAGCTCACTAGACACTTTATGTGATTTTACAAAGATGGTTGTATTTTAAGTACAGTCATTTAGAGTTTAATGCTCTGCTTTGTAAATAAGAGACAACACTTATCAACATGTTTGGTGGTTATTTATCTCTAGAGGAGCAGCTCATATTATTTAATACACAAGAGGTTATCTGTAAGTCAGAATGCTAATTTATTAGTTCCAAAGAGGATCAGAATTGGGAACTATGAGCCACATTTCACCGGGGAGAAACTAGGTAGTAAAACCTGAGTTGTAGGCCAAGAATAGTTGTACACACCTTGATATCTCAGTTATTTGGGAGGCTGAAGCCAGAGGATTTCAAGTTTGAGACTGTCTCAAAAAGAAATAAAACAAAAGAATCTAAGCTATAACTCATTGTCCCAGTGAACAGATATAATCAGGAAATATTACAAGCTGGTGTCATTAGGACAAAAATGACAAGCTTTATTCCTTCAACATGTAAGATTTTTTTCATGTTTTCTGAATCATCATTTGTTGTTGTTGTTGTTGGTCATGGGGCTTGAACTCTGGGCCTGGACGCTGTCCCTCAGCTCTTCAGCTCAAGGCTAGCGCTCTACCACTTGAGCCAGTTCTGGGTTTTTGTGGTTTTGTTTTTGTTTTTTTAAATTCTTGGTTATCCTTGACTCTCTTATTTTTATTTTATTCTTTGGGTTGGTTGTGGGGTCTGAACTCTGGGCCTGGATGGACACTGTCCCTCAGCTCTTCAGCTCAGTGCCCCCAAGGGCATGGCCCTAATGCCCTTCTTCCAGTTAAGCCACACCTCCTACCCTCGACTGCCTCCCAATACTGCTGTCCTTTTATGGATCCATCAAGGGACTAATCCAATAATTAGAACAGAACCCTCCTGATCTAGAGATCTCTGCAAATGCCCTCAAAAACATACTAGAAAATAGGCCTTACTAGTCTTGTTAGGCATTTTTCAACACATTTACAGTTGAGATTAACCATCAGGGTGGTGTTCAAAGTGGCAAGGTAGAGTGTTAGAACGTTGAGTACCATCCAGAGGTAACAAAGGCATATCTTCTTGGTGTCAGCGGAGTACAGACAGCAGTAATGACATCCCTTCTCCTAGCCGAGGAGACCTGAGTGAAGTCTTGCCTGGCGGTAGTAAGGATTCCCAGGCTCATCCCTGCTTGGGATTCATCAGCCAAAGGAGGACCCTGAATGTACATCTCCACCGAGAAGTAATGAGGTAGTTTTTCCTCTGTTCTCCTGGAATGAATAGTGTTGGGGGCAGAAGTTGAACTAAAGAATTGACTAAAAGCCGGAGTCTCATAATAATCAAAATACCAAGTTTCAATTGAATCGCCTGTTCACACACCTAAGACCCGGCATCTCAACCAAGGTGAATTTAAAAAGTCAGTACTTAATTGCATATACGATGATAGAAAAGTTAGCATTTCCCAGCAAAGATTTTAAAGTACCTATTACAAAAGTTTAGTGACCAATTACAAATATATTAGCTAGAGAATTAGAGTCTCAGCAAAGTCTAGCAGAGAATGAAAGGCATACAAAATGTGAAAACATTCCAACTCAAAAATTGAAAATAACCATCAGCGATAAACAGAAGAGAACAAATGGTTAGAGGAAAGAAATAAGGAGCTAGAAAATAGAAAAGTAGACATTATCCTCTCGGAGTAGCATAGAAAATACACCAGAAACAAGAGGGCAGAACAGAAGACCTAATATTTAGGTTATGCTTCTGAAAGGAGGAGAAAGAGAGCTATTATTAGGTAGGAAGTTGAATGACTCCAAACAGATGACCCCCCAAAATGAACAGTCTTCTCATTATTGAAGACCCAAAAATCACCTGGAGTTAAGGGGTGTCAGTGTCTCTCTCAACGAATATGACCTTCAGATCTAGTAAACATTTATGGAACACTAACAATAACAGTAAATTACAAATTCAGGTGCTTATAGAATATACACAAAGGTAGACCATCCCCAGGTCATAATTATATGCAATTATATGAATGTTTTCTTTGACTACAATGAAATAAAGTAAAAGTAAAAATGAAGGGGTGCTAAAGGCTCATGCCTATAAAACGAGCTGCTTGGAGGAGGAGGAGGCTGGGATTGTAGTTGGAAGCTAGCCCAGGCAAGAAAGTCAATGAGACTTTTATCTCCAATTAAGCACCAAAAAAAGCCAAAAGTGGAGCTGTGGCTCAAGTACTAGAACAATCGCTTTGAGCAACAAAGCTCAAGGACAGTGCGTAGGTCCTGAGTTCAAGCCTCAAGACTGACACAAGCACATACACACAAATCAAACAACAGAAAAACCATAGGAAGATCTATGGGTCAAAGAGGATGTGGCAAAAGCCAAAGCCAAAACCAACTTTAAAATTTGTGTGGAACTGCGGCTGGAAAAGTAGATCAAGCAAGCAAGCCTCAGCTCAAACCCTGGTCTTGGCAAAAAGAAAAAATACATGGAACTGAATAAAAGTGAAAATATATCCAAATTTGAGAGGACCAGCTAGAGTAATACTGAAGGGAAACTTACAACTCTAATAGAGAAGAGAAACAGCTTCAAATCAGTTTTCTTTTTTTTTTGGGTCCGGTCGTGGGGCTTGAACTCTGGGCCTAGGCGCTGTCCCTCAGCTCTTCAGCTCAAGGTTAGCACTCTACCCCTTGAGCCACAGCGCCACTTGCGGCTTTTTTTCCTGCTTATGTGGTACTGAGGAATCGACCCCAGGGCCTCATGCATGCACTGAGCCACCTTCCCAGCCCCTCAAATCAGTTTTCTATGCTTCTACTTCACATATAGGGAAAAAGAAAAGCAAACCGTCACAAGAAGAAAGAGTTCAGGCCTATGACCAACAAAAAGAAAAAGCAAGAGAGCCAGTAAAATTGGAAATAAAATAATAATAGTAAGCACCAATGTATCGAAAACTAGTTTTTTTAAAAAAAAAGATTAATAAGATTGGCAGCCTGACAAAGAAAAAAAAGCTAGAGTGACCATTACCATTAGATATCATCCAAAGGAGAGACTGAGAATACTGTGAACAGTTCCACATAAAAATTAACATTTCTAGGCTACATATGGTGGATCAATTCTAAAACAAAAAAGAAAAATCACAAATGGACTTCTCTGAAATAAATACGTGAATATTGTATAGAACTGCTTAGTAAATTAATATAATTATGAAACCCCAAATAGAAATTTCCAGGCTCAGATGAATTTACTGTGCGATTTTCTACCAACACTCCTTTTTTTTTTTGTTGACGCAGGGTCTCACTGTGTAGCCAAAGCTGGTCTCAAACCCACAGTCAACCTACCTCAGCCTCCTAAATCCTGGATTAAGGTCATGAACCACCATGTCTGGCTTTTACCAAACTTTTAGAGAACTAAAAGCATTTTTTCATACATTGTGCCCAGACTGAGCTGTTCTTTCATTTTATTTGGAACGATTCATTTTCTTTAAGGCAGGGACCCTGGTGAGAGTGGAGACTGATGGTATTTATTTTCTCCACAATGTCTAGGAGTCCATCTGGAGTTTTTTTCTTTGAGATATAACTCAACACATTTCCCAGGTTAGTCTGGCCCTGAACTTGGGATCCTTGCTTCCACAGTAGCCTCCTTACTTCTGGGATTACAGGTGCCAACCACCAGGTCTGGTTTCATTTGGGTTTTGAGTAGACAGTCCTCGGTTTTCCTGTCTCAGTTAGCTGTTTCATAGTATTTATTCATAAAAATTCTACTCATCAAGTCCCAAGTCCAAAAGCAATAACAATACATGGGTTTCCAGAGTATCTTCAGGAGACAATTCAAAACAGCTGTAATGCTTTACATATAAAAGCAGGAACTTTTATTCCCATACTGATGTTTCTAACAATCATTTCATAGATACAGCTGGTATCTTATACTAGATTGCAAACCTCTTGCAATAAATACAGGTTATTTAAAAATGCTTTTGGCTCCCCTGTGGTGGCTGCCATAGGTACTGTTCAAGCAAATAGATGCTCATTAGGTAGTTGTTTTTAGATGACTGCATATTACATTGAAATTAATTTTACACAGACATTGTAGGGGAACCTTTTTTCGTGTCACAGTAACTTGAAACTAGAATTCAAAGAGCTTTCAGGTATTCCATGAACCTTGTTTTATGAAATGTTAGTAAATGATTCATCTACCAGGGGATGCCTCAAATGGCTTTTCAGATTGTGTGTGTGTGTGTGTGTGTGTGTGTGTGTGTGTGTGTGTGTGTGGTAATGGAACCCAATGGCTAGGGGAGTTTTACATTTATAATGTTACTTTTGTGTAAAACCTGAGCTAGAGGTCAAAATGATATACTTACTCAAAATGATACACTTGTCAAGGTATTAACATATACCTAAAAATGAAGCATAGCAACCCATCTCTGCTAACACTGAGTGTCCAGTAGTAATATAAGTTTTAGGATTTAATGTTAATATACTATTGTCTGGTTTTTTCCTACCAGCCCCTCCCCCCGCTTTTTCCTTTTTGGGGGGACTGTCATGGGGCCTGGGCACTGTCCACTCAAGGGTAGTGGTCTACCATTTTGAGCCACAGTGCCATTTCTGGCTCTCTGGAGATAAGAGTTTTATGGCCTTTCCTGCCCCAGCTGGATTTGAACCCCTATCCTCAGATCTCAGCCTCCTGAGTAGTTAGGATTACATATGTAAGCCATCAGCACCCGGCTGGCCACTCTTTTTCATTCAGACAGGTTCTCACTGTATAGCCACAGCTGAGCTCAAACCCATAGTCCTCCTGCACAAGTTCAGGCTAGTGTAGCCTGGACAACATATCAAGACACTGTCTCTAAGAAAGACTCCAGACTCAATGCCAGACTCCTAGACATTGCAGAGAAAATACCAATACTGTGTCCACTCTCATCAAATTGAATGCCTTAAGGAAAATGAATCATTTCCAAATGGAATGAAAGACCAGCTCACTCTGGGCGGAAAAAAAGGTTTCTGCTGTAGGTTTTATGGAGTAATGGGAGTGTACATGACCTACTGAGAAGTATTTGACTTGAACAATACTTACTTAGCCCGTTGAGCCCTTCAGGTCTTCATCTGTACAGTGGGAGTAGTAATGAATAATGTAATAAAGGATTTAATGCAGAAACAGTAACTACTCAGTAAGGGGGAAATACTGTTGTTATTGGTTTGAACAATCACCTCACCTGCCCTGGGTTTTTTTTTGTTTTGTTTTACTTTGGTTTTTTTTTTTTTGATAGTTTTTCACTTGGTAGCCCTAGCAGCCAGCTTTGAATTTATAATCCTGCTTAGCCTCCCAAGTGCTGGGATTATAGGCATGCTTGGCTTGAGATTTGAACAGAAAGAAGGAAGTAGGGTTTTAGAGGGTGGAGCACAATTTTAATAAAAGATAGTTGAGACTTGCTGGGCTAGTATAAGAAGTTATGTTGAGGACTGGGGACAGAGCTCAAGAGGTAGAGCACCGGCCTCGGTACAGTGGTGAGGCCCAGAGTTTAGTTCCTAGTACTGAAGAAACAAAAAACAAACACAAAAAACTCTAAAGTATACAGTGGCCAATAATAGAATAAAACCAATAGTAATTTTTTAATATTCCATTATTTTCTAAAGTCACAGACAACTTTTAATCTTCACAATGATAGTTATTATCTTAATCTGCATTGCTTATGAACTCTATGATCTTCCACAATAAAACTATTTTTAAGTTTTTTAAATATGTTTTTTATTGTAAAAATAGTGTATAGAGGGGTTACAGTTACAACATGAGTTACATTTCCTATCCAGCCTTGTTACCTCCTTCTTTGTTTATCCCCTACCATCCCTCCCCACACCCCACCCCAAGTTGTAAAGTTCGTTTTCAACATAGTGTCTTGTAGGTCTCATGTTTACAATAGGTCAATCTGTATCCTTGTTTCAGCATTTTGTTATTTCCCTTCCCCTCCCCACATTAGAAAAATATATATACAAGATGCAGGGCACCCACATCAAATACAGTGAAAACGGGTTATACTGGGAAAGAACATACAAAAGAAACAAAAAGAAAAATCACATAGTACATTTTAAATACATTAAAAGAAAACAATAGCAAGAAAGGAAAAAAACAGTTGTGTCCCTATCTTGGGGTTCATTTCACTTAATATTTTTTAAATTATTTTGGAAGGGCAGGTGTCCAATACTTGAAAAGATAGGTATATTTTTTTTCCTTTTAGATATTGAAAGGACAGTCATATCATGCTGTGGTGCATATGTATAAATTCAGTGCCTTTGTTTGAGACAGTACAGTTGCAAGTTGAACGCACTACTGGTCTATAAAGTGAAATGCAGACCAGCCTGGACTCTCAAGACTCAAAATAAAAAATCTAGAAAAAACAAAGAATATTGATACTATAAATGATTGAAAAAAGTACTTATTTTTTAAGAAATTACTATTGTATCATAATTTTCTTGATTGGTTTCAGGTTTTTTTTATTAAGTCATACTGGCTTATTTGGAATAACTTCATAAGATAAAAATTTTGGCTTGCCAATTTTCATTCATTGTTTTTTCAGAGATTGGAAATGCCTATGCTGTTCTAAGTAATCCAGAAAAACGAAAACAGTATGACCTCACCGGCAATGAGGAACAAGCCTGTAATCACCAAAACAATGGCAGATTTAATTTCCACAGAGGTTGTGAAGCTGATATCACTCCAGAAGACTTATTCAATATATTTTTTGGTGGTGGATTTCCTTCAGGTACTTTAATGCTAATTATGAACACTGTGTTTTGTGATGTCAGAGTTTTATAGCCTCCTGTTAGCTGTTTAGAGACTACCTACTTTCCCTCCTTCATTTTTTTTTCTGTAATGATAAGAGAAAAAAGTTAGGGTTATTACTTATAGTCTGACTTTTCCTAGAACATAGTTTCATTAAAAACTGGAGTCCGGATATTTGTTTTTTTTTTTTTTTTGGTCGGTTGTGGGGCTTGAAGTTTGGGCTTAGGCACTGTCCCTCAGCTCTTCAGCTCAAGGCGAGCGCTCTACCACTTGAGCCACAGCGCCACTTCTGGTTTTCTAGTGGTTTTCATTGGAGATAAGAGTCTCACAGAGTTTTCTGCCCAGGCTGGCTTTGAACCAGGATCCTCAGATCTCAGCCTCCTGAGTAGCTAGGATTACAGGCGTGAGCCACCAGTGCCTGGCTGATATTTGGTATTTTTGTCTAAAAGCTGAACAATTTACTTCCAACACAAATGACTCCCAGTAAATATAAGCAACATTCACTATTATTTATGTTGGTTCTTATTAGTGGAATTTCCACTATTTCACTTTGATAGTCAAGGATTTCTGTCTTAACAACAACCCAAAAACTATATAGGAATTAGATGAATTACCATTTCAATTTCTGTAAGATACTGCTACTGGAAATCCAGAAGTATCTTGATCTACAATATCCATTTGATCACTTGTTCTTTGGAGATCTCTGTAAATATTTGATTAATAGCATTCTAGACAACTAATTTATTAGATGGATCTGGAGGTCCTCATCGGTACTCCCATTGAAATGGTAATTCATCTGATTCCTATATAGTTTTTGGGTTGTTGTTAAGACAGAAATCCTTGACTAGACTATCAAAGTGAAATGGTGGAAATTCCACTAATAAGAACCAACATAAGTAATATTGAATGCTGCTTACATTTACTGGGAGTCATTTGTGTTGGAAGTAAATTGTCTTTGAGAGTAAGGAAGTTAAAATGATAGTCCTGGCTTGTTAACAATATTAACTTAAAGTGCTGAGTTAAACATTCAAGATGAGGAGAATCTTTATGAATATGACTTTACCTGCTGGTACTCACTGACTATTGTGAAGAAAGGCTGTAATCATCGATGAGGTATTTTTACCAAAGATCCTTGAAGGAAAAATAGATACACACACACACACACACACACACGAAAATACAACCTTCATTTTGACATATATGAATACATAACTTTCACAGAAAAGTAATCAAAACTAGTAATTTTGGCTGAAACTGTTTTAAGAACAATGAGAAGTCTTTGAGGCAATAGTGAACTTTTCTGTAGTTTATTTGCAGTTTTTTGCTAGTTATAACAGTTTATTTTGCCAGTAATAACCTTCTCTGATTCATCACTTTTGAAAACAACTTGAATGTCCATCTATGATACTTTAGACAGTTTTTTAAAACATGAATTAACCTGCTATCTCTTGATTTCTAGCAATGTTTGTGATTCATTTAAAGGCAAAATCAAACTTTCAGAGCAGTGATCTGATCCAAAGATTGTTATAAAAGAAAAAGAAAACAAAAAAAAAAAAACAAAAAAACTATGCCCAGCACAGGTGACTCACACTTGTCATCCTAACTACTCAGGAAGCTGAGATCTGATAATGTTGGTTCACAGCCAGCCTGGGTAGGAAAGTCCATAAAACTCTTATCTCCAATTAGCCACCAGAAAAAGCTGGAAGAATTGCTGTGACTCCAGTGGTAGAGCACTAGCATTGAGCCAAAGGACCTAAGGGATAGTGCCCAGGCCCTGAGTTCATGTCCCAGTACCAGAAAACAAAAACAAAAAAAATCAAAACTACCAAAAAAGTCTTCATACATGTAAATATTGCTGAAGAATTCCTTCCCTGACTTTCATAAAAAATAAACTTTTGCCACCCCTTTAAAGAATGTAAAGTCTGGGAAGAATCATTCCCAATTTCCATTTACTCATCAATCATAGGAGGAGGCAGTAAATTGCTAAAAATAAACATCTATTATTTTCAGTCATCTTTAAGAAGAGAAAATACATTGTTCTGATTAGAATTATGACACCTCTGATTTAACCTTGCTTCTAATTTTCTAGGTAGTGTGCATTCATTTTCAAATGGCCGTGCTGGCTATAGCCATCAACATCAACATCGACACAGTGGACATGAAAGAGAAGAAGAAAGAGCAGATGTATGTTTGTCATAAGCTTAGAAATTATGAAATGGCCATTTTCTGCTTGAGGAAAGCCATTTGGGTTGTGTGAAAATAGGGAAAGTAGGAAATGCGCTTTCTCTTACCAGAGATTCAGAAGAGACTAGAAAATCCCCTGGGGCTACTGTATGTCCGGGTCAGGATAGGGGTGTTTGGGTAGTATGATAGCCTCAGGTTTGTTATTCTATGATTCTAGTGAAGATCCACTGTGCTATACATACTATGAAGGTTCCTTCTTTTTTAGTCCTAAAGGATATGGAATTATACAGGAAAATTCAAATTAGAAGCAACTTTTGTTCTAATGCAGTAGTATCTAAGTGCCAATAGTAATTGAGTTACATGAGGTGGAAAGGGAACAGGTGCCAGACTAGAAATTAAAAACCTGGGTCCTTGCGTTTCCATCTTCCACCCTCAGATCCCAGATAAAATTAGTTTTGTGATCTGCAGTGTGTTGGTAGTTTCTATGTCTGTGTGAGAGAGAGACAAGGACTTACTCCTTTGTAAAGTGAGGTTGAATTATATCTGGGTTTCAAACATTGGAAAGGAATCACTGTACAATCAGACTTGAAAGCAGTGAAGATGATGATTGAAATGATGATCGCAAATGTCCATTTTTGCCTATAAAAGTATATAATAACCATTGGGTTGTTGACAGCCTACATATAGATTATAGTTTGTTGTTTGATTTTTTTAACAGGGAGGTTTTTCTGTGTTTATCCAGCTGATGCCCATTATTGTATTGATCCTGGTGTCATTATTAAGCCAACTGATGGTCTCTAATCCTCCTTATTCCTTATACCCCAGATCGTAAGTAGCTAAGTGAAGTTTTACAAAAATTAATTTTTGTCCTTTCTTATCTAACTTCTGTGAAAAGGTTTCATGTTCTAAATTTTTTATGTGTACATTTAGTACAAATATAATAAGTTTAAATTTTCAGATTTGTGTTTTTAGTTTACATTTGTTACACTATGAATGACAGAAGTACTGTATTAAATTTGCATTTAATATGTTATGTGTTGACAAGATATAAAAGAAAAATAACTTTAAAACAAAAAGAAAAATAATTGATGTTACATAGATTTGTGTTACTAAGTGGGAAATACTAAGGTCAGGCCAAAACAAAGTTAATTCAACATTTCTTCTCGACAACTTGAATGTTACACAATGTATTTTAGGCTAACATCATATTGGCAATGACTTTATAGTCACTAAAAACAGGCTTAGTCCACAATGAAAGTAAGTTATTTCTTCCAAATAAGACTTTGTTAACTAAAAATTGAGAGAACTTAGTAAGCACGTAGTATTTTCAAAGTGTGGTCTCATGAAATTATGATTTTAAGCAATTTGAGAGAATATAAATATTATTAGTATTATCTTTTAAATAATTTTTGTTACTTCAGTTTGTAGTAGCATGTTAGAATATCCACTTTAATTTTTTAAAAATGGTCTTGTATCTCTTTTGCAGTGGATCAGGGCAAACAATTAAAATGCAGACTGAAAACCTGGGTGTTGTTTATTATGTCAACAAGGACTTTAAAAATGAATATAAAGGAATGTTACTACAAAAGGTAGAAAAAAGTGTAGAAGAAGATTATGTTACTAATATTCGAAATAATTGCTGGAAAGAAAGACAACAAAGTAAGTCTGTCAAATATTTAACATCTTTTAAACTTTTTTAGTCTTTGGGATTGATTACTATAAAATTCCCTTGTCAAAAAATGACTCTGGCATTACCTAGTACATAGTTGGAGCTTAGTACACAAAATTGTTACAGCCAAGCCCTTAAATCAGAGGGCTCCTCATCTACTCAACCATGGAGACAAGCACTTGCCAACAGAAATATTCAAGGGGAAAAATTATGTCTGTTGCAGACTTTTTTTTAACCATTCTGGTTTTTTAAAACAAAAGGAGTAATTTGAAATAAACTGATAGAAGAGAAGGTTAGGAATTGGAGATTTATATTTCAATTTAGGTCCTGTTATTCCGGGTGAGCTTTGTTTTATTAACTCTTAGGATTTCTGGAATGTTTTTGGTGGCGGTGGTTTTTGGTTTTGGTTTTTGGTTTTCTGCCATTCACAGGGCTTGAACTCAGGACCTGGGCACTGTCCCTGGCTTTTATTTCTTTTCTTTTTCTCAAGGCTAGTACTCTACCACTTGAGTCACAGCTCTACTTCTGGGCTTGTGGGGGGGGGGGAGGGCAGGGGGGAGTAATGGGGAGCTCTGAATTAGAGATGTCTTATGGATGACTTTCCTACCCAAGCTGGCTTTGAACAGCGATCCTCAGATCTCAGTCTCCTGAGTAAGCTAGGATTACAGGCATGAGTCACCAGTGTTAACTTTTAGGTTTTGAGAAGTGTATTATTTTACAAGTGTATTATTTATAAGTAATTTTATAAGTATATTATTTGTAAGTAAAATGTAAAGAGTATTATTAATTGAATTGCTAGTCCTAACTCAGCTGATTGAATTGTTACAAATAGAGTATTACATTTTATTTATTTATTTATTTATTGTTGGTCGTGGGGCTTGAACTCTGGGCTTGAGTGCTGTCCCTGGGCTCTTCAGCTCAAGGTAAGCACTCTACCACTTGAGCTACAGCGCCACTTCCAGTTTTCTAGTGGTTTATTGAAGATAAGAGTCTCACAGACTTTCCTGCCCGTGCTGGCTTTGAACCGTGATCCTCAGATCTCAGCCTCCTGAGTAGCTAGGATTACAGGCGTAAGCCACCAACCCCTGGCTCAAGAATATTACATTTTTTACCTGAGTATATATTAAATGTGGTCTCACTGATATATGTAGACCAGGCGGTCTCTATTTTGGCTACTGTCTTCTATAAAGCAGTTGATTCTCCCCCCCTACACCCCTTTTTGATTATATTGTCTCTAAGTACTCCCACTTTTTTTTTTGAAGTAAATTTCAAAATTACTATTGACAAGCAAGTAAGCCGTGAAATGGCTGAGAGGAAGGAACCAAGGCGTTTTCATTTGTGGTTCTCGTATTTGTCATTAGTAACTGTCCTGTCCTCACACTGGAGCACAGAAGCACTTGCTTGTTCAATGAAGGTCACTATTGTGGTTACACAAGCATTTTCCTGTTCCTTCAGTACCACCGTGTGTATTTTTTTATATATAAAATCAGAGCAAGATTTTAAACTTTATGCTTAAGTTTGGGAATTATGTGATACTTAACAAAAGATTAACCACTGCCTGCCTTGAATGACATGTTTTCAGGATGAGGCTTCTGAGCCGTGCTTTTTAACCCATTGTGTTCAAGACTAGGCAGGATTCTAAATCCTTATTTCTTTTTTGTTGTGTGACATACTAGACTTTAGGTAAGGTTTTCATTTAAAGAACAGTTTGCTACTAATAATGGATTTTAATATTGGTACTTGGATTTTTCTTTTTTCATTTAGCCACTTATCAGACATTGAAAATCTTCCATGAAGCATTCTTTTAAATTTAAGCAGCTGGGTGATATGAATTATTAATTAGCAAAAATATTTTTGTTTGATAACAGAAACAGACATGCAGTATGCCGCAAAAGTATACCGTGATGACCGACTCCGAAGAAAGGCAGATGCTCTGAGCATGGACAACTGTAAGGAACTGGAGCGGCTCACCAGTCTCTATAAAGGAGGATGAACTGGAATTCATGTTTATACCTTTTAGTATACTATTTATGGTTTCTGTAAATTTAGTTTCATCATGAGAGCTGAAGAAAAAGATTTGATATTAAAAACTACACTGAGTAGTTGGTTCCTGAAATCTTGGACTGTTTATGACCTACTGGCTTATTTAAGTCATAAGAACTGAAGACTAAAATTATTAATATTTCAGTATGCATCTGCAATTATTTTTCATCTTAAAAGCTTCTATGATTCCTAACTAAAAATGTCTTGAGAGGATTCTCACACCTGTAGCACCAGTTTTAGTGATTTCCCCATTATTTCCTACATCATGTAAATATTTATGAAATGATTGTTTTGTGTACAATACAGGAATTGCCTTTTTATTTAAATTATTTTAGTCTTTGGCTTCATGAGACATTTATTTAAGTTGATGGAATACATGCTGTATGACCAATTACATTTTCCCTGTTAGGTATTGAATATATGGAATTTAAAACAGTGAAACTTTTTCAAACAGAAAGAACAAAAATCCCCAAACTGTTTTAAGTAAAATCTTATAGCATTATCTCCTTAGAAAAAATGATATTTTACATATTACCATTATATTCCAGAATATGTATTGAGATAAGTGAGCTGAGTATGAGTTTGCTCTTTAGTTTCATGAATTGTTAAGCCATAATAGAAACAACATTGCTATACTTATAGATTTTCAAGAAAATATGAAGATAACTAAAAGAGTTGTCAACAGAGAATTATAGTTATGCCATTTGCAATTCCATTAACTAAATCTTAGCCCCAAATGTTTCCTTACCATGCCTTTGAAGGTTGCTAGAATTTATGAAGGAAAGAACTAACTTTCCCCCCATGGAAATTTGCATTCCTTAGTGGCCATTTATGCAGGATTCAAAAGCAAATGGATTCTTCTACAAATAAGTAATGAGAAAATTATATAAGCATACAGCTTTGTGCCTTTCATTGCCGACTCCTAAATAAATAAGTATATTTAATCACTTACTGATCGGAGCATGATTGGTTTGGCCACATGCAAGTGAGCAGTAATAGTGACATAGTAAGGCATCCGTTAAAAAAATCTGTTCTCCAGTGAGCATTTCAGTTAACCTTATAATTAAATCCATAGAATAAATTAGGAAAAAAAAGACTAACAAGTCAAGAGTTTTTGGTGCCTATATATTGGATATGAAACTATTTGATTTCTGTTGTTTAACCGTTGTAGTATTTTAATGTTTTTGCTTCATACAGTGAAGAAACGTTATTTTTGGTAATTTTTTTTTGCAAGTGAGAATATGCTAGGTATAGTGGCTTTGTTTTTTTGTTTAAAGATTTTTTTCTAGGTCTCGTTGATTCATGGAATATGTTGAATAAAACCACAGTAATAATATTCTCTTAAAAATGTTCTCTTCTATCCCCTTTTCCAAGAAAGCCAATAGAAATGCTTAAGTCAGCAGCTGAAACTGAACTTCCTGTCCTAGAAAACCTGGACAGCTTTTCTTCAACCTATATAAGTTTTGTTTATTTAAAAATAAGTTTATAGCATTCTAACTAATTTTGAAAGTTGGTATGTTTCAGAAAGATTTGAATGAAAAAAATTATTCACCTTTCCAGTTTTAATGGGGAATTTGCACTGTTGTGGATACTAACAAAAATTAAACCTATTGACTATTTCTCCTTAAATGCCAGTTTTAAGGGCATAGGTGAACTTGAGTGAAAATAAATACACATCATAATTGCATACCTGGCTTTTGGACAGTATTATGTTTCAGGTTCATTGCTACATCCCATTATATTTCATAATCTATTCTAAGAAACGTGTTTGATGAAATAAAAATGTCAGACTATTGTGAGAAGTGATTGATTGAGTATCTGACAATTTAAGCCACATATAAAGTATGCAAGTAAAGACTGAGTCCTTAATGTCACCTATGTCATGGTGTAATGGCCCAATAAGGATCTGAATTTTAGGTTAAAATTACAAAAGAAGACTTCAGATATCCTGAGATATATGATTCTCATGTTTGCTCTTCTTTAATAAGTTAAAAAACAATCTCAGCATTTTGCTGTTATTTTCAGCTACATGAACTTTAAAGTTTCATTTGTTTAATCACGGCTCAAAGCCCTTGATTTAGCTTATTAACTTAGTTCTCTAACTTGTATTTTGTAAGTCTGGCAGCAGTTCTGTTCATTAATGCATTATATTTTTATCCCCATGCACATACACAACAATACACACAACACATACCACAATGTACAATAAATATACTACACATCGCACAACACTATTATTATTTCTATAAGGGGGAAAAGCAATAGTACCTTTTCTCCTCATCTTTTGATTTCTTTGTTCCCAGATAGACTAGTAGTCAGTAGTCAATCATTTGCACATTTTCAAATTTGATCAAATAAAATAATTGAATCTTCGGTAATGAGAAATTTCAAGTTATTCATTTATTACTGATCTAAGTGGAAAACCATCTTTTGGGAACTGGTTGCATTTGAGTGCCTAAGTGATTCAAACCATTGCATACTTCTGTGTGTGATTTGCAAAGCTTTGGTAGCAGAAAGTGCTGTCCTTAGGTATATGTCTGCCAGGGTATTCAGTTACTCTGCTTCTGTGTCAACTCAGGTGTTCACAAGAACAGGAATGTGGAATGCCAGCCTTTAACTTTAATTGCACTTTCATGCTTAATTTTTCTTCCTGTTCAACTTTTTCCACTAATCTATAAAATAAAGAGAAAAAAAGATGTGATTTCCCTTATATGCTCAATATTTTAAAATGCAGCTTTTTAACATGTGACGTGCTAATGTTACTTACTGTATTCCTATTTCATTTTTTTTTAAAAAATTGTCTGCCTTTTTAAAGCAGTGAAGACCTGAGAACCAAATGAGCCATCTTGTCCGTTAAACAAGTATTATCACATAGGACCAGTGGTTAAAAGAGGAAAATGTGTACATTTATTTAGCATCTCCTGGAGCTTGGGTTCAGTGCTACCTGTATTACTGTCCCTCTTCCTACTGCCTGAAGCAACGAACAGGACCATCTGAGTAGAACTAATTAAAATAAACGATAAATATTAATTTTAATCTTCAAAAAATGGCTAAAACCTCCAGTGGCCACATTGTACTATCTAAAGTTCACAAAATTCCTATAGACTGGTAAAAAACAAAAGAAGTCTTGACAAGTACCTCCAAACTTTTTCAAACAACTAAAAAGTAGACAGAATCTGGGCATGGTAGTAAGACATTTATAATATCAGCACCTGGGAGGCTCAGGCAGATGTGAGTTTGACTCCAGCCTGATAAATAGCAAGACTCTGTATCAAAAATAACAAAAAACAGGGCTGAAGGCATAGCTCTGGTGGTACAGCCTAGCATACGTGAGGTGGTGGGTTCAGTGCCCAGAACTATGCTAAACAAAGTGGGAGGGTGAGGCTCTCAAGGAATTCTTGCACACTCCTTTAATAGACTGGCAGGTGATATGGTCCTAAAGTAGACTTCTTTGGTTTCATTATTATTAAATAGATTCTTCCATATAAATGGAAACATCTTTCCTCAAAACATTAATTTAAAACATACTCCTTATATTAAGGATTATGTGACCATATTTCTTTTGTAAATTTCCCCTTGTGTAACTTTTTCCTGTTATGTGATTCCTTTTATCTGCTGGTGTAGGGGCCAATAGATTTGTGAATATTCTGTGATGTGTCCATGTATAAGTGTATATATATTTTTTCCAGCTAATACCTCAGATGTGTGATTGTTTAATATATACTACTGTATTTGCACAGAGCAGGGCTTCCATTAGTTATTAGCTGTGGGTATTTTTCTGAATTTGAAATCGGTTTAAAGAATTTTATTGGTGTGAATTCTTTGTTGCTTTTTTTTCATGCTTTAATGCAGATATTCCGACTAGAAGGCCCATCTTGACACATAATTATATCATTTTCAATCTAGCAATCTGGAAATATGTAAGGATATGTGTTTCTTGAAATGTTTAGTAAGCTGTTAAAATTGGGGGTGACTGGTTGCTAAACTGTCTGGTAATTTACATAGCAGATGACACCTGGCATGGATAGAGCAAGTCAGTCACTTCAGCACAAGACTGCACTTTCTATATACTGATACTCAGCTTTGCCATCTGAAGATACCATTAGAATAGTGAGATTTTTCAGCAACACTGAGAAATTTTTAGTCATTACTTTTGAAATGAACTTTTTTAGTTGGCTGACTATAAGAAGAAACATAATTGATGTTTTGTATTTATGTTAAGTGCTTTTTTTTTGCTTTGCTTTTAGTTTAGATTGCTGTGTAAACTCTCCATTTAAAGTTTAATATTTATGTTTTAAAAAGCTACAGGTAATTTTCAAGGTGTGATGGGACTTTAATGGAAGCCTTGTAAAAGATAAACTGATGAAAGAGATATTACTTTGTCTATAGTGCATTAAAGATTATATAATTAGGTTTAAAAATAAAGTGTCTGATTTATAAAATATTTAAGGTTATAGCAGACTTACATAAAATAAAATTTTCTGTGAACTCTTAATGGAAATGCATTTGATTTTTAATGAATGTTCTAATGAATGATTTATGAATTTTTGTCTTTCAGTCTGTAGTTTATCTCGGTATATTAATAAAACAGCTTTGTTCTCATCATAAGATTTGTCTATCATATTTTATACTCTTTTTATTCAACTACTCAAAAAAAACTACGGATGCCTTATATATATCCTAGGTAACGAAGTAGGTGCTGGGAATTAAATAACTGAATAAGATTTTTTGCAACCTATGGAGTTTACATAGCAAAGAAAATAATAGTTACAATCTTGATAAATGTGATAAGAGTATGAGATCATGGATCCAGGCAGACCTAAATAAGTCTGCAAGAGTGGAGGAAGGTTTCTCTGAGAAAATGAGCTTCAAGATGAAACCTCAAAGAGGAGGTAAGTCGGAGTAAAATGAACACCTTAAAATATTTCAGGCAGAGTTTGTTAGGCTGGTGGTCATAACAAAAAAATTCATGGAAATGAGAAAATCAACTAAAGTCATAAACTTTCATTTACCTAGGAGAGACTAAGGCTTCCTCCATTGGTGTGTGACTTTGCCATCCCAGGTGATCTCTGGTGCCACATGGAGTTTGCCACCGGAATCTAGGGAGTGGGAGGCCAGGGATGTGGTTAAATATCTTGTGGTGCACTGTGCAGGCTCCACAGAATTGAGTCCTTCACAGATCCACACCCCAGGCGATTGGAGACTCCTCCCTTTGACTTCAGTTTTCTAATCGTACTAGTTTTGTAAGTCTAATAACCAAGGCACCAAACAAAACACAAAGGCAGTATAGTCTTTAGGAGGTTCAGCAGCAGTCAAGAGCCAGGGAATCTGCCCACAATCTAGAGAACGCTTTGAGGAAAGAGCAGGAACAGGGACTCCCGTGGGCAAGTCAAGAGACTGGAACACCTAGGAACCTGGGGCTTCTGGTTACAAGCAATCTGGTGCATGCTCTTCAGTTTTTCAATATTAAACCTCCAAGTTTCAACAGCAAGGAAAGGTTTTAGGCCAGAGGTGGCTCACGCCTGTAATCCTAACTACTCAGGAGACTGAGGTAAGACGATCAGGGTTCGAAACCAGCCAGGGCAGAAAAGTCCGTGAGGCACTCATCTCCCATTAAGTTTCCCCCCACACACATGCACACACGCATGCACACACACACACACGCATGCACACACACACACGCATGCACACACACACATGCACACACACACATGCACACACACACACATGCACACACACACACATGCACACACACATGCACACACACACGCACACACACACATGCACACACACACATGCACACATACATGCACGCACGCACACATGCACGCACACATACACGCACGCACACACACATACACGCACACACACAAGCACGCACACACACATACACGCACACACACGCACACACATACACACACGCACACACATGCACACACACATACACACACGCACACATACATGCACACACAAGGCCGACGTGGGGCTGTGGTTCAAGTGGTAGAGCGCTAGCCTTGAGCACAAAAAGCTCAGGGACAGTGCCCAGGCCCTGAGTTCAAGACCCGGGACCGATACACACAAAAAGATGTTACGATAAAGGCTCAGGAAAACAAGTGACACGCGTGCATCTTCTTCGTGCCAACCAGGATGCCCTGCAGCACAAACCGTAGCGGCAACTCGGGGGGAAATTCAGAGGAAAGCAACCCCGCGCGCTTCCTCCAGACGGCGGCGCGCAGGCGCAGGCAGCAGCTCGCCTCTGCCCGGAAGGGGCGGGGCGTTCCGAGCCGTCGCGCGCGCTCTCAGTTCCTTCGCGGGGTTTCTCCGGAAGTTCTAGTCACTTGGCCGTGAAAGCGTAACAAATGCTTCCGGGGGCGCCG